CATAACTGTTTTAAGAACCCAATGATTGCTTCCACCTTGTCAGCCTGGTGGAAAACACTAGAAATCACAAACTCTCAGATAGAACCTTGCTTGCTCTCTCCAATTTGGCACAACCCGGATTTTGAAATTAACAAAAGACCTCTCCATTTTAGCACATGGGAGATGAAGGGAGTAACTCATCTCCACCACCTTTTCCAAGACAATATACTTATGACATACACAAACTTATTTCAAACTTTTGAAATAAGAAATGGAAATTTTCTACAGTATTTACAATTGATAAAAACAATCAAGAGGAGAATTCCAGCGCCTCAGGACACTTTGCAGCCACCAGAATTTGCCAAACATATTACAAAGCTTTCTCCGAGAAATAAGAAGAACCTTTCTAAGATTTATAAATTACTGTCAGAGACCAGTTCTATACATTTACCAATTTTAAAATGGGAAAAGGAGCTGGGTGTATCACCGGACCCTGACTTCTGGACTCAGATATGCAAAAATACATTCAAGATGACAAGACACACTAATATACAACTTATCCAATTTACAGTACTCCACAGAACACACATCACCCAACAAAAGATGAATAGAATGGGCTTTAGTCAATCTGACACATGCACTCAGTGTACTCAGAATACTGCAGACACCTACTTTCATGCCCTCTGGTTATGTTCACCCGTCCAGCACTTTTGGTCAACAGTCACTCAAAAACTCTCCTCCATTTTGGACTGCAGGATCCCATTATCTCCCAACCTGTGCTTAATTGGTGACCTGATGACAATTGACCTCCCAAACAGCCACTGCAATTCTCTTCTTGTAGCTCTCGCCATCGCCAAGAAAACAATCCTAGTCAATTGGAAAGATAAACAGACCCTTAACATCAACCACTGGCTGAATCTCCTTGCAGAACATATTTCGCTGGAGAAAATATTTGCTGGCCACAGAAACCAATTAACATACTTTACAGAAAAATGGTCGCCATTTATCCACTCACTAAACGTGTCTGTATAGTGCCAGCCACTATACAGAGTCAGCCTGTGAGCATATGCCACCTGTACATATAAATATTACAACTCAAGAAAGACTGTTGTTGATGTAACCCCTAATCCCTCCACCTCTCTCACCACAATATACCACAGCTGTTCATCAGAATTCAAGGTCTTAAGCATGTGTTAGGTGCACCTTCTCCCCCTTGAATCTGGGCCTGCTCCCTGGCTCTGTGGGGGATCGCGGGACCGCCCCCCCCCCCTCCCCCCTCTCCCCATCCCTCCCTGTTCCTCTCTCCCCTGGGGGGCCTGGTGTGGGGGCTGGGTGCTGCCCGCGGGGGGTGTTCTGGTGCTGCGCAGTGTGGGCCTGCCCGTTGGTGTGCGGCCGGCGGTGGGGGGGCGGGTCGGATGGGCTGGGGGTCCGACTTTGGGTCTGGGGCTGTCTGGGGGGGTACTGGCGGGGATGCGGGT